CCCCCCTCTCTCTCTCTCTCTCTCTCTCTCTCTCTCTCTCTCTCTCTCTCTCTCTCTCTCTCTCTCTCTCTCTCTCTCTCTCAACTGCCGATGCAGCCCTGCCCAGTGCCCACGACTCCACCGCGGACTACCAGTGCCACCAGGGCCGCCATCTCTCCACCTTGCGCCGCCCGCCAGCCTGGCACTGTGGCGCAACAGCATGAGAAAGCCGCCGAGTTCGCCACAAGAGGTCGGAGGTCTTAGTGGGTTGATCTAGCCGCCTTCTTCTCGCACACTTTTTTAAAGGAGAAAACAGTTGACTAAGTCGAGGGGCTGGACCCAGTGGATCGATACTGATTCGGTAGTGTGTGATAGCTTGCTTTTTTTTCTTTCTTTTCCGTTTTCTTGGGTGCCCACTGCGACTGTACACAGGCCTGTGTTTTCTATTCTAGCAACCTCAGGCCTGCGCGCTGGACAGGTTGGCCCAAGCCCTTTTTATTGTTTTATTTTTGGGGGGAGGGTGCATTTTTTCGGGTGGTCCTGGGCCTTTGGGTCGGGTGACCTAGAGAAAATATGGACCCGCCCTGTCACCCGCCTGTCGGGTGACCCAGAGCAAAAACTGACCCGCCCATGACCCAGACTCATCCACTATGTGCACAAGCCCATCGCCCACCCAAGAAGGCATGGGTAGACCCAAGCCCGACCCCCATCGCCTTGTGGGCGGGTTGGGGCAGGTGGGTGCTGCTGGCACCCGGCTGCCACCTCTGGGCAAAAGGCAGCAACGCACACAGCAGTCAAGCGACAAGGCAAGGAACCGGGCGGCATGATGAACAGCATGGAGGAAGGCAATGACACAGCAAGGTAGTGAGGCAGAAGGCAGTACCAACACAAGGCAGCACCCAGAAGGCAGACAAACTACCAAGGCAAACAGGCGAGCAGCGTGGTAAGACAAGGCAAGTAGATGGGCGGCCAGGGAGAGGAGGAGAAGCACAGACAAGGCAGTCCACATGCGGACCAAAGCAGCCCATCACCTACTCACACCACAAGTAGAATCGCACAGGCTGTGTAGGTTCACACCACCATCGGAGCCAGGGAGACGCTCCAACGAATATCTATGATAACCCATGAAACACACAGACACAGGCATCAGGAACTCAGCAACCCCCCTGATAGCGTAACGGGCACTCCAAACAAACAGGATCTGACTCACATTTTAGAGGTGCTAAACCTCGGTACTTGGAAACGCATGGGAAAAAGGTCAAAGCATGCATGAAGTGGACTTCAACACAAAGGAAACACTCGGAAGAAGAAAGAAAAAAGTTACATGTAATCTGATTGTGTGTGTGTGTGTGTGTGTGTGTGTGTGTGTGTGTGTGTGTTGTGTGTGTGTGTGTGTGTGTGTGTGTGTGTGCGTGCATGCATCTGTGGTTTGTGAATGGGTTTCCCTTTGAATGGCGTGATATATGGCAATGCAGAGGCAGGGGTGAGCTTCTATGGAACTCCATTGAATGTTACAGACGCTGTAAACATTAGAGCACCAATCTTGATGATACTAGGTAAGAAGCTTACCTTTTGGCCCTATGTTTTTTTTGTGTGTGTGTCGCAAGGGGGGAGGGGAAAAGGGGGTGGA